CCCCAAAACCCCAAAACCCCAAAACCCCAAGGGAATTGAAATTTGTTTAAAAGTGAACAGACATAATCAGAATATAAATAAACTAAAAAATGAGATATAGTAACACTAAAATCAAATTGAATTAAAACAGAGTCTCATAATAGTTTGATTGCAGGAATGCTCTAAACCTAGTCATTTTTAGCCTAATATTTTTGGCTTTTGAATCAAAAGCTGTAATGTATGAAAATGATTTCCAAAACCAGGCATTAATAAATTTTTACTCAAACGCATAATTCGATGATTCAGAATTTTGTTTAATAAGAGGAGATTTGATATTGTATGTAAGTTGTCCAGGGTCTGAACAGTCATATATAATTGATGCCTAGTCATTCATTAATCCAGTGATCACCTATGATGATAAGACTAAGTTAAATCAAATGATATTCAATGAAAAAATTATTCTCTCATAATCTACTACTAAGTTTGAGAATATTACAGATGTTTACTTTTTAAAAGGATCTCTTAATATAATTACTTTGAATTCAACCATTCAAAGATAAAAGTCTTATAGTGTATTCTATGATGGAATGGATAATACTACCAAAGCTCTCGAATATATTTATCGTAATAGTGTTACCTTGCAAAGAGTATTTTATGATGGAAGGATTTATATCAGTAAATTTTGGAATTCTGACATTGGAGAGTTCATCGAGTTCTATTCCTTTCTGAATCGACCAACTGTTGATTATTCCAGACTAATGCCAGGAAAGTAGTTCAATATGACTTATGAAATTATAAGAGAGTTAAATGATGACTACAGTATTTATGTAGGCTGGAATAACTCGTTTGCTGCAAATAGCTATTTGATATATTACAAGATAACTTCATCAAATGTTGCATTGAAGTCGATCTTTAATTTGACGCTTAAGTCAATGTGCACTGAAAAAATTGCAATTTCTGAAAGCCTGATAGTAATTTTGTGCGAAACTAGAAAAAAGCTTTAAATATTTAAAAGAAATGGCACAAGTTTACTTGGAGATCTAGTGATTCCTTCTAACTGGAGTTTTACAAAGAACAAAATAAATGGTCATATTCCTATTCAAAACATGTTCATAATTTCAAGATAAAGTCATAATTACATTTTCTTTATGGTTACTAATGTCACTTACTTTACTAGATAAGTTATCATTTAAAGAAATGGCACAGATCAGTTAGTAAATCAAACAGCAAACTCTACTCTATACTAATTATACTTTATGGAGATAATAATATCGCCTAGCAATTAAATATTCACAAACTTTGAATAAGAGCCTGAGATTCTCTACTAGTCTGACAAATTGTTCTAATTTTAGAAGATTTATGATAATTATCTTCTTAAATAGTCTTATTCGTCACCTTAGTTCTACTCTTATACTCCAGTTTGCTTTTATGATGAGTCGCATTATAAGCAAAAATGCTCTCCATGCCCCCCTGGTAGCTATTCTCTTTACTTTAATAATCCTGCTTGTTACAGCTGTCTTAACATAGAAACTTATGTCTTAAATCAGTTTCAAACAAGTAAGCTTAAATTCTTGTGCAATAATAACATGACTTCTATTTATGGTGCTAGAAATTACTCAGTTGATTAGTATAATGATCCCATCAATTTGATAAAAATATCCGATAACAATCAGAATAATAATAACACTGAAAATGGGGGCAATAATACAATTGTAATCGATGGAAGTGGAGGTTAAAGTGAAAGCAAGTTATCAAATTGGACTATAGCATTATTAGTTGTGGTAATAGTGACATCAACTTTTTCCTCTGTTACTGTTATCATATTTTTACTTAGAAAAAGAATGCTAATGAGAAGAGGTATTTAGAGATCTAGAGTTTAAAATGGTGAAATACTGAGGCATATTGATGAGAGTGAGGTTGATGATTCCTAAACTGCAAGATAAAGAGCAAGGTAAGATAGAGAGAAGTAAAGGAAAACAAAGATTGAGAAAATTAAGAAATTAGCTCCTAAGTAGAAATATTCATCAATAGAGCATAAATAGCTTTTGGCGAATAATTGTGTAATCTGCTGTGATGAATTTAATGATAATGATTATGTAAGAGAGACTTAATGTAGACATATATTCCATTCATAGTGCATAATGTAATGGGTTCTTAGCTAGCTATACAAAGAAAATACAGGTCAAGATTAGCCAATTGCTGATCCTTATTGCCCTACATGTAAAGCGAATATGCAAGTAGAAGTTGAGAAGAGAGTGTAGAAAGATTTAGGATTAGAAAATTAAAGATAAATTGACAATTTTGAATTACCTCCAGCATCCAATATTATTGATACAGACCGAAATCATTCTTAATCAAATCGCTTTATTTCAGAAATAAATAACAACCATAATTTAGAAGAGATTCCTACTGTTATCATTGATCAGAGTGAAAGACAGCCAGTGTAAGAAGAAATGGTTCAAGTGCAAATAAACAATTTGGTTGGGGCAGCTCACCAATCAATTGAAGGACCGATTGACAGAAGTATTACAATTAGTAGGCTAATTAGACAACTTGATGAACCTCTATCAAGCAATGATATTAATAATGCAATAACAGCAAGTCAGTTATAAATTTTACAAGAAAATTAAAGAGAACAGCTTTGAAAAAAAGATGTTTAGTAAATTTATTAAAATCGTACTAGCTCAGTAGAAATTTTAAATATTATTATAATCTACTTAATTTCATTATAATATTTGCTTCTAATTTTTTAATTTTCGTCCAATGGGGTTTTGGGGTTTTGGGGTTTTGGGG